CTAAAGCACCATACCATTTAAATCTGTTTAGGTTCTAAAGCTCCACACCAATTAAACCTAATTAGGTTCTAAAGCACCATACCATTTAAATCTGTTTAGGTTCTAAAGCTCCACACCACTTAAATCTATTTAGGTTCTAAAGCTCCACACCACTTAAATCTATTTAGGTTCTAAAGCACCATATCATTCAAATCTGTTTAGGTTCTAAAGCACCACATCACTTGAATCTGTTTAGGTTCTAAAGTTCCACACCATTTATATCTATTTAGGTTCTAAAGCTCCACACCACTTAAATCTATTTAGGTTCTAAAGCACCACACCAATTAAACCTAATTAGGTTCTAAAGCACCATACCATTTAAATCTGTTTAGGTTCTAAAGCACCACATCACTTGAATCTGTTTAGGTTCTAAAGTTCCACACCATTTATATCTATTTAGGTTCTAAAGCTCCATACCATTTAAATCTGTTTAGGTTCAGAAGCTCCATACCAATTAAATATATTTAGGTTCTAAAGCACCACACCAACTAAATCTATTTAGGTTCTAAAGTTCCACACCACTTAAACCTATTTAGGTTCTAAAGCACAATGTCATTTGAATCTACTTAGGTTCTGAAGTGCCATACCATTTAAATCTGTTTAGGTTCTAAAGCAGCAAACTACTTGAATCTGTTTAGGTTCTAAAGCTCTACACTATTTAAATCTATTTTGCATATGTAAATGAATAAGGAATTCTAACAGTGTATAATAGGTTCTATGAAAGAGAGCTCGTGCACAGGCACTCATATATCGCACGTTATAGTCTTGTTTTCTAATGAGATAGGGGTAAACTGTAAATAAAAGAAATAATTATTTACATAATTCACAGGTTCCTTTATAGTGCTGATAACATTTCCCTAATTATATATCATTTTACTCACAACAGTATCTAAGCTCGTGTATGAAGATGTTACACGGATACAATTCCGTTGAATTTCGTAAACGTCTCTGAAACATGAAAAAACTTTGAACATTAACCGATTATTGATAAAATAATCTACGAATGGCTAAGAATTTCTTATATAGAAATAGTGTTTCACGGAATCTACACTGTATGTGTGTTTAGTTAACACTGTAAACGGAAAGTACAGCCTTTTACCAGTTGTTATACGCAAAATTAGGCCCACAGTTACAAACGGTGTAATGGCTATAACTCAGTATCCAATTGCGAAATAAGAGATTAATTTTAAGGCTTGCTAAGATGGCATGACTAAATAACTGGGCGTGTCTAGATACGGTTCAGTAATATCATGCATATACTATTATATCTATTAAACGTTTATCAAATATAAATAATAAACTGAAGTGATACGTATTCCGCTTATAAAAAAAAACAATGAATATATTATTTACCCATGAACAAATATTAATGTTGACCACCCCTACCATAGTGATTTCTCTACAGTTCGTAGAGACATAAGATAATACTAACTGTAGCTATACTTTAATTTACATAAATTTATTTAGGGGAGGGTGTAGAGAATAAAGAGTGGGGCAGATATAGTAACACAGACCTAAAATAAGTACTAAAAATTTATTTTCTAACTTACTCCTCCCACAAAAAGAGTGAGGCCTCGTGTCTTCCTCATTATTCTTCTTCATCTGCACGATATAGCGTTACAAGATCTTGCCTCTAGGCTATTTGAGTGTCATCATCTGATCAGCCAAAGGATTTTGCTAAGAACTCTGTCGAAAATAGATTTTTTTATATATACGTAAGATTTCAAATCCTACGGGCTTCTGCCCTACCTCAGCAACCAAAATACAACACGTAGACAATCTTATTTCCTTGACACGTACGGTTGTAGGTCGTTTGTCTCTCCCTACTCTCGTTCTCCGTCCCAATGAACTTGACAACACACACTGCTCATTTGCTCCAGCATTGCGGATTCACGCTCCGCAGCTTCAACCGAGTTATGACATCACATCCTCCCGAGATCCACGAAAATGGTGGAGACACATTTAATCCAAACATATGGTTGATGTCACGAGACAAATTGCAGCGAACCAGTATCGTACTCTATTCTACGGACTATCCGATGACTTATACGGAACGCCTCAAATTCTGAAACACAGACTAAATATTGCGTGTTATTATACGCAAGAAGAATTTGTACGTTACTTTTGCGCATCCACCTATACGTCGTATGTACTGTTACGTAGCGCACAAAAAACAGTCTAGCTATGTATAAAGTAGAATGAGACCAATATAGACGGACATCTATCTAATTAATATATACGGACATCTATGTAATACAGACGGACATTATGTAATATATACGGACATCTATGTAATATTGACGGACATTATGTAATACTGACAGACATCAATGTAATATTGACGGACATCTATGTAATATTGACGGACATCTATGTAATATTGACGGACATCTATGTAATATT